TTAGTTTGAAACTTGTGCTTTTGCTTTTGAGTCATCAGAACATTACACGAAGCCCCTACTAAGGATATCATTGTTATTGCCTCGTCAGGTATCACAAAACGAGAATGAATACATAACATGTAACATACATATGTATAATATACTATAATTGTTTCCAGTGTTATCGGTTTCGGCAGTTTGTAGAGACTGAGTATTCTCTGGTATTGACGCTATATATTTTATTCAAGGTATAAACTACTCAAGTATTCTGTCCCCCTGACAATGACATCATCCAGACCTCTTCGTTTTCGTATATACGCAGTTTTTCGAATTTTTCAACTGAGACTTAAATATCCAGGTTAAAAGCCTGTAATTCCTTATAAACTCTGAGTTCTCTGGAGAGTCACTTGGACAACGTACATAGCTAAAAGTCAATCATTCCGACACCTTTGCAGTGTACATTCAATGTGTCCAAGTCAGCAATCTTTCAGTTTATAGCGACGACATTGTCTAGTAATATTTTAGTATTTTTAAGAAATAGCTTTAATGCTTGTACATGTTGCTATATTATTGTACCGCAGAGGCTTCAGCAGGCTATTATCACATCAGTGAGATGGTATCTTCTTATATACTTTTGTTGTTTGCTTCTAGAGAGTAATAAAACTGTTTTAATGTTTTGGTATGACAGGATTAATTTTAAACTCCATGGTTGGATGAAATACGTTTCGTTGTGCTGAACTCTTTACTATTTGTTATTTAATTAAGTAAATAATGTACAATAAATTAACTATAACAAGTGTCATACCTTTCATGTTCACTTAAGGCGCGGTCGGGTAGCCTAGTGGTTAAAGCGTTCGCTCGTCATGCCGAAGACCCGGGTTCGAATCCCGACATGGGTCAATTTGTGAAGCCTATTTCTGGTGTCCCCTGCCGTGATATTATTGGAATATTGCTAAAAGCGGCGTAAAACCAAACACACTCACTCACTCACTCATGTTCACTTAATACCCGCGTGGGAATGGCCGAACTTATTATTTAGAAAATCGATATCAAAACGTAGTTATAAATGGCTATAGCTCAGACACTCAGGTGTGCCACAGGGCCCGGTCGTGGGACCAGTGTTGTTTATTATCTATATCAATGACATTGTTGAAGGAATAAATAGTAATGTAAGCTTTTCGCTGATGACATATCTTAGTATTTGATCATAGAAGATCCTGATATAGCTGCTTGTAATGTCAATACTGATTTCGACAGAATTTCAGAATGTGCTGCATGATGGTAAATTAAATTTAGTCCAAAAAACCGAATCTATTCAATTTACCCGTAAAGTAAACCCAAGTCGCAAACCTAACTTATATATGAATGGTAAAGAAATCAAAGATGAACAAAGTCATAAGCTCCTAGCTATTACTTTTCAAAGTAATTGTACATTGAAAATGCACATTGATGATATTGCCAGGAAATGTTGACTTCTGGTTAATTCTTCAAGAAGTTATAAATATCGTCTATCCTGAACTACCTTAGAAGCTATGTACAAATCCTTTACCTTACCAATTTTGTTATTGTAGTTGTCATATTTGGGACATCTGTAGTAATGAACAAGGTAATTGATAAGAAAAATTAAACTTAGAAGCCCTTAGAACGATGTGTGGCGCTGTCCGGGGTACGAGTCATCAGAAAATCTACAATGTACAATCTACCACAATCTACTTTGTGTAATGAACAGTATTAACATAAGCGCTTCGCTTGTTTACAATCCATTTTCACATTTTTTGTGAAAATAAATATTTCTAAATCAAATAGCCGGACGAATAAGAAGAAGAAGAAGATTTTAATTTTAGTCTCACGCATAGTAAAGCATAAAAATTGCTACGTGGTTCGGGTAGATATGTACAATGCCTGTCAAGTATGAGACATTAAAGTCTCACAGGGGCCCGATTGGCGAAGGGAGACCAATCTAACATTACACCTGTCCGAGCATCTTGTACGCCGACATACATACACTGGCTGTTTCTGTCTGTTATCAAACTTATTTGTCAATACAATAGTACTAACACAACACCTAGATTATGGGTTATGAAAGCGTTTGCGTCAATACGAAAACAAGTGCTTTATATCTCTGCTTATAACTCTCAACTCTGGCCAGGCTCCGCCATAAACGGCATGAATGTGATAACTGTTACGCCTGAATTAATTGTTTGAATGTCACGTCTGAAAACAAAGAATGAACCGTTATACAGTAATAATCTGGGTATTTTTTCTGTGCTATAGAATCAAAGGTTTAATTGTATATACAGCACCTACGTGTAAATGCTTTAAGGTGATGTGTCAGTCAGTACGATGTTCTAGTATAAGCATATACACTTAAAAATAGACAGATGTTAACTGTGATAACGATCGAGATGATAAATAAACGCAGGTCCGGTAGGTAGTATTTCCTTGGTTACAGTTAATAGTTTATTTGAAGTTGACATTTTTCAACAGTTCTTTATATGATGAAAGAAATACTTGTTTAAAAAAGTCTAGCAGTGAACGCTACAACCATGATGCAAAGAGGAACACTATAAAAGGCGCAGAGTTTAACTATATATTCCTTATTTTATGATATCAGAAATTCATTTAATGATTCCAAAGAATGAATTTATATCCCAAATTTGATTTTAGGTATCGATTTTAGATATCGGTAAAAGAATTTAGTATTTCAAATGATGTATTTTAGCATATAAACAATCGAATTTGTGATATTTGAAAAATCAAATGTAGTTTTTGATATCACAAATTATGAGAATTACATTCGCTAGAGTGTTTTGTCAATGGGTTTCAGCATATCGATAGATAGATATTTTTTACATATCTCTACTCTACTGGGTGAATGTTTGTTACTCAACGTTTGATGTTTTTCGGGGTATCCTTCTTGGTAAAATGAAGCAATAATGACTACATGAATTGTTCATGATGGTATTTTATCTTCAGCCTCTATCTCGTGACCTTAGGTCCATTTTTTAATAGTTCATGCAGACAGGTAGAGTGTCGTAACATTTACAGATTTAATCATAGTCAGCTGATGTCTTTGCATGTATATAATGGTACATTTCTCCTCTTATTTAATCAATTTACCTCCTGGCTATCCTGGTATGTGGAACATAAGGCTTAGGATTACAGATTTTGCATTGTTTTTTTCAATGCGATTTGAATATTATTATTTACAATCTTACTACCTGCTTTACATGAGACGTTTTATGTTTTTCTGAGGATTACAAAGGTGTCGTCTACCTTCCTGTACCAGCAGACGGGTTTTATTGGGAATGTGGATAGGACTTTTTCTTCAAAGGATAGATTTCTGTAAGGATAGTTGGGAGAGAGGGGATCCAATGTGGATGCTGTGTATCTGCTCGTAGGTGGCGCCTCCTCTGGGAAAGTTGGTTGAGGTCATGCAGGATTCGGTGAGGCTGATGAAAGGGGCTATGGAGGGTGGTATCAAGTGCTTGATCTAGGTTGGAGATGCGTTGACAGGGAATTTGAAGGATTTCGTCAGTAGGGACCTTTGTGAAGAGATCAACAACATCACAGTTGATGATCTCTTCAGGTTGAATGATGGTCTGGATCTTCTGACAAAAGTCTGTGGAGTCTGCTATATAGGATTTGATTTTAACAACATTTATGTCCCTGCAAAATAAATGGGATTGGTGAACAGGCAAAACATATACTGAAGCGCAAAAGAAACGTCACCATAGATAGATATATGAGAAACCTTATTTGTCCAAACACTGCAAACATACTTTGAGACATATTAAAAATATGAAACTTGGGAAAACTGATTATCAAGGTTGAAATTAAGGTGTCAAATGTTCTTAAAGTGAAACAGAATACTAATCTCTGAGAAAATGGCATCACAAGTCAGTATCTCGTGTGTCTGCCTAGTGCATTTATGACTGCCATGCAACATCGATACATGGTATGGATGTGGCAGTTGATGAAGGCCAGAGGCACTTGAGCCAACACTCTGCTCTGGGCAACGCCTGATGCAGTTCAGCTGCAGTTGTTTGCCTTGTCGGACGTCATTCAGCCGTCTTTGAATCTCGTCCAACAGGTGCTCAATTGGATTTAAATCGGGACTGAGGTCAGGCCACTGCATGGTTCTGCTGGAGGAAATCGTTCTCGCAGTGTGGGCACAGGCATTATCATGCTGAAACTCGTTATTGCGGCGATGTGCCAAATGAGGTATGACGTGTGGTCTCAAGACTTGATCAATGTACCGAGCTGCTGTGACACCATTGCCATCTCCCTGAACCGATGTTCTGGAAGACCACAGGGCCGACCCCCTGTGCAAGACCAATTCCACCCCACACCATGATGCTCGGACTACCCCACGAGTCTCTCTTAACAACGCAAGCATCCGAATAACGTTCCCCACGGCGTTGTCAGACACTCTCTCTGTCATCTGCTGTTGAGAAACAGTAACGGCTCTAGTCTGAGAAGAGGACTCTTCTCCATTCCTGGTGGCACCAATGCTGGTGGCGTGTTGCCCACTGAAGATGGTCCCGGCGATGACGTGTTGTCAGAATGGGTCCTCGGTGTGGCCTGTGGCAGTGGAGATGCCTACTCGTCAATCGTCGACGCAAGATGTCCGCACTAATGTGTCGTTGGTATGTCCCAATGCTCTGTCGAGCAGTTTCCGCAGCGGTAACAAAGCAATCTTGAAGATGCTGTCGCACAATCTGACGAACCTGACGTCGGGTGGTGGCCCTTGGTCTTCCACTACATGATCGGTCATCTGTAGTGTTGGTGGTCTGGTACCGTTGCTGGAGCCTGTATATGGTCCTTACGTGGACTTGAAATGCATTGACTACTTGCCGGGCGGTTTGTCCAGCTTGCAATCGTCCAAAGGCTTTGTGTCGCTGATTTATTGTCAATCTTGGCACTCTTAACGAATGAAAAAGAGAAAATGTCAATCATACAGTGTCCATATTAATCCAATATTATCTTATTCCAAATATAACACGTTTCCTCATTTTCAGCATGCGTCGCCACTGGCATCGCATGTGTTGCCCCTGCTGGCTGTGTTGCCCCAATTCCCGGTCTCCAGTGTCCAGCCGGTATGACGTGCTGCGTCGGTAAGTACTTCTAAGATACTTAGTTTACCCAATTTACATACCATAATTTTTTCAAGGAATCATTGGCCCCTCATCTCTCATCCATTTGGCTCATAATCTGTATAATGAATAGGTCATCATCACGGTGATTTCGTTTTGACAGAATATCTTTAAGAATAGAAATATATTTTGCTGTTAGTAGTTTTATAATATTTGAATATTATACAGGTTTGTGAGGACTAGAATTTGTTTAAATTCAAGAATTACTTAAATCAATATCCCTGCAGCCCCAACCTTTGGCGTCTATAATTCACACCTTTGAGGTGAATCGCACTTGCCCTTTCTACGAAGATTTCAAAGAGCGTCATACCGATAGCTGACGGATTTGAAGACAATTTTATAGTGGAAATGTAGAACATTTCCTCAATTGACGCTTTTGTGACAAATTTGAAATTGTGAATTGTTTCGATGCCATTTTGACAATACCATATGTTCCCGTATTTGTGGGGCCACTGCTGGCCCAGTCGTCTCAGGCGCTGCGATTCGCTGTGCAGAGTTGCGTCCCTTGGGCACGCGAGAAGCCTATGATTGTGGGTTCGAATCCCGGTTCGCCCCGATTATATTTCTAGGTTTGTCAGCACTACATATGTGCTCATGTGATTCACCAAAGTGGCAAACTTCTGAGACCTGCATCACATGCATCGCTTTCCTCCCACAATAAGCTGACGCGCCGCGATATAACTGTAATACTGTTAAAAGCGGCGTCAAACCAAACTCACTCACTCTCGTATTTGTTCAGGTGAACACTTGACTTACCTTTGCTTGTATTTATGATGTGTACCACCGGTGGGTTCTGAAACGCTCAGCTTCTAGCAGACACATGGTTTCATCACTATTCTATACTGATTCAAGAACAAATGGTTATGATATGATAGGAATCAGAAAATTCTTATAATTATGGAAAGGAATTTTACACCTTCAGCGCCGGCGATGACAACGACAACGACCATGCCACGTAAGTTACAAGATTGTCTTCATAAAGGCCAATTTAAGAATTAATACACTTACATTTCCTGAATGACTATAATTAATGTATTTATGTGTATGTACATTTAGGGATGAAAAGGGAAATATATTAATTGTTTTTCTATTTTGATAGGGCTGTCACCACCATAAATGTCCTATTATCTCACGTGTGAATATGCTCCATTTCCCCCAACCTACAGATATCTGCAGGCTGTGATTGGATGATTTTGTGTAAGATTTTAAATGTACTTGCATCCAGTAATTAAAACCGACAATGTTTTTCTATATTAAGTACTGTATTTTGCAACATGATGACTTATGCTGAATGTGACCACAGATGTTTTCAAGTAGGTGTCATTTGGTGGGGATGGTGTGTTTAGTTTCCTGTACTCAGAAAAGGAACGGGCTTGTTATTATTGCTGCTCTAAGGCCAAACTGTGCACACGTACAGGTAATAGTTGTTTTTTAAAAATATAACGTCACCAAAGAAGTCGTGTGGTTGGTTGTGTGTAACCTGAAGGATGAGTGCACATTTCAGTCATTGATACTTTATAGGCTTTCCTGTTTATATTGATATGGATATGGATACATATTGGCATGAATGTGGAGGCGAATTAAGAAGTAATGACAGGGAAGGTGGGGACAGTTTGGGTAAAATGGAGCAGTTGGGTGGCCTGGAAATGAATGTTGTTTCGTATTGTGGTCGAGCTCGGCACGAGCCCCCGAGGCTAGCTCTCTCAATCAAGTCCTGGCCCCTTGCGTTCTGAATTTGTTGAAACTGACGAAGTTGACAAGAAGTTAGGATAGAGCAACCACTGCCACAACAAATCTGTCTCTGTGTTGTTAATCACCTGCCGGTCAAGTTATGTGATGCTGGTATCTTGAGATTGATACATGTACATGTACCTTTTTGTTTTGTTTATGTAAGAATTAATAATAAGGCTCTACCATTTACCATCAATTATAAGAGGCTATTGGAAATTAATATAAACTACTATGTTATCTGGGCGTAGATAGTTTTGTGATCTTAACCATCACCCGGTGAGATTTTACAATTGTCCAGTGCCACTTCTGTGCATTGCGATTTGGGGATACCAAAGGAAACAGTATATTATTAGAGGAAATTGCTTGTGAATACTTATACCATGTAGATAGGATACCTTCAGGGTTTTTAATCCTTTCTTTTTCTCTGGGTACTCCTTGTCACGCTGATGGAAGGGCGTCACTGAACAGGTTCAATTATTCTATGTCGGGGTCGCCTCTCCTGCTGATTTAGGAGACAGACAGAAGTGGTCGTCTCATTTGTCTTATTGACTTTACATTTACATAGAACTATCATATATAATGGAAATATCATGACAATGGTTATGCGGTAGGTTCTTGGTCGTGAGATCATATAGAGGTGTTGGCGGTGCCTGGACATGCAGCATACAACTTTTCCAGTGTATGCGGGCACCTCGTCTTCGTTTCACTCCATACTTAAAGCCTTGATATAAAGGACTACGGCCACCACGTTTGTTAGGAATGAATAAGAAAATCCCAGGTGCATTTGCCATTTTACAATGAAGTTTTCCAGAATGTGTATACTATCTCATTGATTACTTGATTACTGGTCACTGCAATTGCCTTAATTATATAAATGTCAATGAACTGGGTAAGCATTCATTGGTTTTTATGGATACTCGTAAAATCCTCAGTTGAGTTCACTCACTAACTACTGTGAGCGTTTTTGGCTTACTGTTAATCCTCTGCTGTGTTGTGGCAAAGTGAGGATAATCATCTGTGCATAAAAAATTCTGTTTGTCTGTCTAAGTCAAAGATGTCAGCTACATGTATTTGGACAAAATTGTTCGTGGGAAATTATACACGGTTCGAACAATACAGTGACTGCATAGTGGTGAAGCAACTGAATGGAATTGAGGTCTTGAATATTAATAAAAATCGGCAAATGTTAATTTGTTAACGAGTAAATCATTTTCTAAATGCCATTACATAGCTAAAGATATTTACATTTCTGTTTACACGCAGGGCTTAATCTATAAATATTCATATAGCTTAATGTTGAATTATTGTATAGCATTTCTAAAAGAAACACATTCTCCGGAAAATATAATTAAGCATTAAGAAGCCTGACACACACTGTTGATGATGTAATCTCGAGGTTTCTTAACTTAATATCCATTGGTATTGTACTGCACCCCTTATCTGTTCAATCTTACCCGACTGCAGTAAGACATTCTACACATCAATGATCGCACTTAAATCAATAACCCAATCGTTGATTAAATTATTACACCAGAGAAGAGAAAAAGCTACATATGAACTACTGATTGCTGTATATACCAGACGCCATCGTCCGAACACACACATTGAAGGCAGGGGCAGAGGGTTGGTACCACACTGATGTACCACACTGATGACCAGGGGAATGAGTGAGTGAGTTAAAATTTAACGTCTCATTGGCATTATTTCAGCCATTTAGCGACGAGACCAAGTTTAATATGTTAACAAGCAAAGGAATATTTAAAATCAATTTTAGCATACCATATTTAAAAACAATTTATTAAACATAGTTGAGCATAACAATATTTTACAGTTTTTAAAGCACGGGCTATGGGCCACCAGCAACAGCAAAGCTAGGCCACCTCAGGACTTACAGTACCTCTGCTTTCTGCATGATACCCCCGCAGCATTTACGTCATCACTTTAGCCACAGGTGGTTGTGAACAGTACTAGCCAATATTAAAAAAATGACAGGAATGAGTTGGCTTAAAAACACTGGTTGATGATAGTAACATCGATTATGATAGGATTACGGGTCACACAGGGGGGACAATATTTTTACGCTACGTTAACCTCCTGGACAGAGCCTTCAATAATGTCAGTTGATAATAGCATCACACCAATTTAGGAACAAGCATTTAATTATTCACATACATATTGAAAAATTATTATACAGACTGATTTGTTTCAAATAGCTGATAATGAGATGCCCGCTGACACGGGAAAAGAGATCTTTCAGATTTACGTTTTGATAATGTGAATCCCTTGCGATTGCAAAGTCAACACAGTCAACCAATATATGCTTGACGGTGAACCTTTCATCACAAAGGAATAAACTTAGGGGGTTCGTCCTCATTTGCCTAATGCAGATATTCGTGTGTAAACCGACTGTGGCCAATACTACATCGTCGTAAAACGTCCTCGTCATGTCGTGACTGACAACCCAAGTAAGTATGACCGATTTTTGGTTTCTATTCGTGTAGTTTATTGCTTCCTACTTGGGTGTCCCACCTCTTTTGCACGAGATCCCGAGTTTAAGATTTGATGGTTGGTTTGAAATCACTGTACAGGATCAGAAGTGGAGATAACGGTTTGTCAAGAGCTGCTTTAGCTGCATCTTCGGCTTTTGAGTTTCCTGTTATGCCTACATTATACAGTTCTAAAATTTCATGGATAATAGGGTGATATGGTGAGACACCTTTAAGTGCCTGACGGCAAGATAACGAATCAGAGAAGATGATGGAATGTTTAGATTGGTTTTGTTGTTGAATATAGGTCAAAGCTGTTAGGATAGCTTTGGTCTCAGCAGTAAAAAATGAACTAAAATCTGGGATTCTTAAGGAGACAGCTCTGGATCCAACGATGGTGGCACCAGCAACTTTGCCACCATCATTGGATCCGTCTGTAAAAATGGACCTGTGAGAATTATATTTGGAGCGTAATTTGTTATATGATTGTTGATATACCAAAGGATTGGAATCCGACTTTTTTGGATTGGTTAGAGTGAGGTCTACTTCTGGCTTCACCACCTGCCAGGGAGGGGAAGACAGAAGACGGTGAGGTTATATAATATTTAAATCTTATTAAAATGTTAGCTGCAGTGATGTGTGGTTGAATTCTGAATTCCAAGTGGTGGAACCAGGTTTGATAGATTTTGAAACAGGTTTTCATACTGAGGGTTGAAAACACAATTGTATGCTGGATTAGATTTATTTGAGTGCAATTTAGTGATATATTGCAGTGAAAGTTTAATGCGGCGCAGTTCGAGTGAAAGTTCATCTGCCTCCACATACAAACTGTCCATGGGAGAGGTCCTAAAAGCTCCAAGACAGAATCTTAGGCCTTGATGGTGTATAGTGTCCAATTGTTCTAAATTGCTTTTGCAGGCTCCACCATAGACAATGGAACAATAGTCTAGTTTGGAGCGTATTAACGATCTGTACAAGTGAAGGAGGGTGGTCTGATCCCCTCCCCACTCGGAATTTGAAACGACTTTTAACAAGTCGAGAGCCTTCAGGCACTTTGCCTTGATATATTTAATGTGTGGTAAGAATGTGAGATGACGGTCAAATATGCGGCCCAGGAATTTGGCCTCCTCTACTACCTTGATAGGAGTACCATCTAAAAATAAATCTGGATCCTTGTGAGGTTTGTATTTAAGACAAAAGTCAATGCAGTTTGTTTTGGATTTAGTTAATTTGAAGCCGTTTACGTTTGCCCATTTTTGAATTTTGTTAAGACAGAGCTTTAGCTGTCTTTCTATTGTATTAAATATCCTTACCACGACAAGAAATGTTGAAATCGTCCACAAAAAGTGAACCATCAACGCTATTGTTTAATACTTTAGTGAGACTATTAATTTTGATGCTGAAATGGGTGACTGATAGTATACTGCCTTGAGGGACGCCCTGATCTTGATCGAAACGATCAGACAGGGTAGATCCCACTCGTACTTGAAATTGTCTGTTGTTTAAAAATTGAGATATGAACTGAGGTAATCCGCCCCTCAATCCACATTCATGCAAATCTTTTAAAATACCATGTTTCCACGTTGTATCATATGACTTCTCTAGATCGAAAAAGATTGATACAGTATGTTGTTTGTTGACAATGGAATTTTTAGTAAACGATTCTAAACGCACCAAATGGTCAATGGTACTTTTTTTTTTTTTCGGAAACCACACTGGATGTCAATCAGGAGGTTAT